GGGGAGAGGCGCCGGGCGGGGCGCAGCGGGGGCCGGGGGATTAGAAGATGCTCCTCGCACCCCCGGCAGCCCAGCCGGCAGAGAAGGCGGCCGCCTGCCTGCGGCACCCACCCAGCCGTTGGTGGCGGCGGGGAGGAGCGCCACCTCTCCCTCGGCTCCGAGCGCTCCGCCCAGCCCGTTTAAGAGTCTTCTGGCGGGCGGGGGGGGGGAGTGGGCGTCGGTGGCACAGAGGGGTCAGGAGGCACGGTTGGTGCCCCCACCTCCTCCAATTTGCCCTCCGGAGCTCTCCTCTAGAGTATCATATTCCGGGAGTTCAATTGTCATCTGAAGCCGCCGCATTTAGCAGGGACCCCGGGGCTGCCGCTGGGGACCCCTGATTTACGCAGTGGCTGGAAAGCGTTGGCAGGAACCCAAGCTTGGCGTGACCGCGGTGCCCCGCCCTGCGTACCTGCGGGCTCAGGTCTGTTCCTCAAACCAGGATGGTTGTATGGGAGGTCAAAAGGTGACCCCTTAGTGTCACCAAGTCGCGATTCCGGCTCGCTGTGCCACCAAGGGGCCCTTCAGAAGGTAAAAGGGCTTGAAAATAAATTGTCACATCAAGAGGCAGCTTTGCAGCGTGTGTTTAAGAGTGTGTGGGGGCGTGGGGAAATGGAGCCTGTCTCTTTAAAATCGCTGGGCTGGACAATGAGCGCACAGGATGTGGTTTGGCGGCAGGGTTTTTTCCCCTTCGATTTGGGGAATTATCACATGGGGCCTTCTTGAGCTAGTGTGAAAGAGAGGCGGCGTGGGGAGGAGAGATACAGACTCCACACTCCCTCACACACACTCTGTGCAGTTGATCGTTCTCTTAAACCAAATTAGCCAGGGCTCTGGTTACTATGGTGCAGCCGGGGCTTGCAGAATCCCAGTAATAGCATTTATTAGGTCTATTTGCCTGGAAGCATGCCTTCCCGGATCTGATAATGCACCAGTGCGGGGAGAGTGTGGAAGATGGTATCAAGCATTTGATTACACTTGCAACAGGGATTTTTAAGGGTGGGGTGCGGGGTGCAAGGAAGAGAAAGGAGAGAAAGAAGCTGCTCGCCTTAGGAGCTCACCCGGGCTGGGCGGCGTGTGCGTTTCCGCAGTCCCGCGTGGGTTCACAAAAGGCTGGCCAGAGCCCCCGGGGCACGGTTTGGGTATTCTCCTCCTAGGCCCGGGCGGCGGGTGAACTCCGGCTCCCGCAGCTGTCAGCCGTGGGTGGGGAGGGCGGGCGAGTGGCCAGAGCGCGGAGTTGGGCAGCCGAGGGGGGCCCGGCGGCGCCCGCAGCCGCCCACTGTTTGCAAACGGCCCCGCTTTGGGGCAGAGCGGAGCGCCCCGCTGCCAGCTACTGCACCCTCCCCGCGTTTGGAGAGGGGAGCCCAGCTCTCTGCGCCCGGATCCCAGACCGCACGGATCTGCTGCCCAGCTTGGCGGCCGCGCTGGGAGAAGCTCGCAAGTGAAACTATTATTATCGCTCTGCAAAGCATGGAGCTCTTGGAAGATGCCGCGTAGAGACGGAAGGAGCCGCCGCCGCCTGCAGCCGCCCGCCGCTGCGCCCCTACCCTTTCGCTTTCATTAGGGGAGACAAATCTGCTGTCAGGCAGCCAGCTTTCCAATTTACCGATAATGATTCTTGCATGAAAATTGATCGAGGGGCTCTCCACCGCCGTGCGCTCTCGCCTCCCCGCTCTCCTCCTGCTCCTTCTGCCGGGGCGCCTGAGCCCCCGCGAGTTCTTTCTCCTCCTTACCCCCCCCTTGCTCTCTGAGTCAGTGGTGGGACGCCGGCCCGGGGAGATAACCAAAAAAAAAAAGAAAGAAAGAAAGAAAGAAAAAGGTGGGGGGGGTGTTGGTGGCGAGAGGGGGGAGGGGAGCCGGCTCTTCGGCCTGCTTTCTCCTGCCCAAGACTTGTTTGCAATCGCTGCCTCTTTTATTTACGAGAAGAAATCTCCCCCTCGGTACTTCTTGGCTGTTTGGGTATTAATTTTCTCCTCTCCCCTCTCCCGCTCGCCCCCTCCTCCTCTCCCCCACCCCGCCCCTCCTCACCCAGTAGCTAAGGGGAAACGAAAACAAAGCCGATTTCTCCTTGGCAACAAGAGATACCCCCTCCCGCCGCCCCCCCTTCCTTTTTCCTTCTGGTTCTGAACGTGAAACCCTGTTGGAAACAGGTCCCTTGACCCTCGCCCTTGACATTCAAATGGCTGAATGGAGGAGAGATTGCTACTCGCACGTCTTGGGGCTGCTTCCCCCCCCCTCCTTTTTTTCTTTCAAATGAGTAATCCCTGAAGATCTTAACCCCCCAATTTCATCACCCTCACCTCCCCCCTTTATTTTTCTCGCGCTCCTCTCCGCTCTCCCGCCTGCTTCCCTCCGCCGTGCGCCCCCCTCCTTTTTTTATTTGCATCTCAAGTCCAAAAGGCAGAAAATACACACGCGGCGGCGAAGACACCGGGCAGCCGTGGAGGCTCCGGCTCGTCCTCGGTCGTCAGTCACCCCATTGTGGATCTGCCCGGGCCGAGGTGGCCGAAACTGCCCGGGCGCTGGCCCGAGAGAGAGCCCTTTCATCATCTTAGGGAGGGAAAAAAAGAAAAAAGACATTTTTCTCCGTCGCTCTCGGGATCGCTCTTCTGTCTTTATTTTATTGTTTTGGACATTTTTGAGCGCCTTGGCTCGGAGGGCGCTTTTTGTCTCATTACTGGGTTTAAAAAAAAATTTTTTTTTTTCCCTTCTTCATCCCTCTCTGGCCACTATGGAATTCTAATCTGAATCATGTTTGGATTGAAGCCGCCTCTGTATTACTTACCAGGTAAGCGAGCTGTGCGCCTCCCCGGGTCCCGCGCGGCGCCGGCGCGTCCCGGACCCCCACCCCACCCGACCCCCCAGACCCGCAGCCTGAGTCCGGGGCGGCGGGATCGGCAGAGCCCCCAGCGGGCGGG